TGTGTGTGCAGGCAGAGTGGTTTTTGCCCTCTTGGTTGATGGCTCATCTCTTGCTCCCCCTTCCCCTCTCCTCCCATGACCCAGCTCAGTCTGGCCAAGTTCACTAGAGTTCTCCCAAATGTCTCTGTCCCTGCTTATGCTCTCCCTCTTACCTATAATAAGCTTTCTCCTCCACCACAGCTAGGAACAGTCATAAGTCATAGCCTTCCATTTTTTATTTATTATTTTTTCATTCACTCTGTGTGCCAGAATCTGAGCTAAATGCTTATGCAGAATGAAGAAATGCTGTTGACTCTGAGAGTAAGGTAGGGAAAGAAGACAGATACACAAACAACTACCATGCATTGCTATTCTAGCCAGGGAGCTACTGGTGTGATAAAGCACTAGTTAGGCACAGGCCTTTGGTAGGGTATGTACGCACATCCACACTGATGCCTACGTAGAGATCTGTGTGTGGCTCAGGTTTTACTACAGAGTCCTTGCTGGGCACGATAGTGAGCACGTCCCCCATTTCTTCTAAGCAGTGCGCACAAAGGAATGTGGCTAATACTCAGGTGGAGAAGAGACAGTTTGGTCTGTCAGTAAAGAGCACCAGGTACTCACAGAACATGCTAAAGGGGGATTCCAGAGGGAAGCACCCTGAGAGAAAGCAGCAACGTCAGCAATCAGCAAAGCTGGCAGGAAGAAAAGCCTGCAGTCTTCAGGCAACACACTCACTCTTGTCACCGCTGTTGGTAAAGGTCCGCAACATTTCCATTTGAAGAAGGAACCAGTGGTTTATAGGATTGTATCTTTTCTAGTTTAGGGATATTTACAATTAAATTAATATTTGGTAAAGACTAGCTCCTGGTCCTTGTCCAGAGAGTAGAAGTCACTAACCTCGAACCCTGCAGCTGTTCTATACCCTGTAAGGCCTGAGTCCTCTGGGAAAGGCCCCTGTGGCTGCAGTAGGACAGGGCTAGGTGTGGCGTTCCTAAGGGACAGCTGCTGTCTTCCCTCCATCCCACTGGCCATTATGACTGAATGGAAAATATGTGGCTCTGAGGCGTCTGCAGGCGCAGCAGGAGAATGGTTCAGTAAGAAGCAATTCCTGTCTGGGTCTGCTATTTTATAGCCAGTAATTATAGTATGAATGCTGGACAGATGAATCAAGATGTAAGTAATTCTCACCTCCTCCATACAAAGTATAAGTGCTGTATCTCACAGGCCTGCTCACACGATCCATGTGAGGAGGCTGGGTTCTTAGCTTCACAGATCTGAACAGTGAAGAGCCATCTGAGAGGTGAGCCACTTTTTTAGGGGCACCTGATACTATGGGCCATGGGACTGAAACTGACAAGCGGGTCTGGCCATCCCATTCGCCTCCAAAGCCTCCGACTGTCCTCAGCACCACGATCTTCTGGGTGTCGACTACTCAAGTGAAGAGGGAAAGGTGGTGCCATCAGGACACACCAAAGCAAAGGGACTGTCACTCCCCAGTGCAACGCAGTCACTCGCTTAAAGTTGTTGGTTTCCTCTGAAATTTTACAGTTTATTTTTCCACGCTGGAGATCACAGGACCTGTCGTGCCCGCAAGACCTTTCAAATGATGTTTCAATGTAACACAGAGAAAATGTGTGTTTGAAATATTATAGTAATAAGCAAATTACTTGACAATGCATAAGAGTGTATTATTATAAAGGAAATAATGTATACCAATGTGGAAGGAAGCACTGGAATAAACACCTCAGATCTGAGTGTTGACTAAAGCAGATGTGTGGGGAATAGGTAAGTTCCCTCATGTCATCCCATCTTCTCTGTGTATATAACATTGATAATGCCAACAGAATACAAGGCCAGGTAGAATGGCTGTTTTTTTTTGTTTGTTTGTTTTGTTTTTTTGTTTTTCAAGGCAGGGTTTCTCTGTGTAGCTTTGTGCCTTTCCTGGATCTTGCTCTGTAGACCAGGCTGGCCTCGAACTCACAGAGATCCGCCTGCCTCTGCCTCCCGAGTGCTGGGATTAAAGGCGTGCGCCACCACCGCTGGCAAGTGGCTGATTTTAAAACACTGTTTATAAAACTCAAGTGAAATAGTTTCCTCACTCTCTATTCAGCACAGATACCCACTGCCAGATGGAAAAACCAGCCACAGGCATGGCCATTATTATTCGTCCAAAATACCTTTATACAGTCCGCTGGTAGTAGATTTTTATTACTTGTTTACTAGTAGCTCCTAAATTTCTAACGCTAATGCACTAGGAAACTATGGATTTAACATAGCTCAGAAATCCGTCTAATAAATCTGTTCAACTTTAATATAAGGTTTTAATACAAAACTAAAGCAGACAGAAAGAAAATTTTAACTAAAAGTAAAAAAAAAAAGTTAAAAT